TGTGCATTTAGTTTTATCATACGGCCAAGAGTAAAGGACCATGTCATATTTACAAAAACGGATTAGTTATATGAAGTAGAAAATGGTTGATAAAGTAACCCGTAGATCCAACAAGCATAGGAGTAGCTTTTTCCCGAGTGAGTACATTATGATAGTTAGCTGCCATTTAAAAATTACTTTTTAGAATAACTAGCCACATACAGTTTTCTTCAAAATAAATCTTTCGTACATGCCAGCAAAATCCTAGCCCACATAATTATTTTTAGAGGAAAGGAAAAACGTATAACTACGAAAAACGCAAACGAAAGGACAATATTCTTTAATAAAGGTAAATATAACATCGAGTAATTTTGCCAATTAATTTCACTATGTTCTTATCCAAAAATAAAAAAATAATATCAACAATTAAAATATTGTATTATTTGTATGAAGGTCAAGTGAGCGCTAGAGAACCGACGACTGCAAGACGTTGTCGATAAGTAAAATGTTTGTATTAATATTCACATCATCCTGTGGGCTAATTAAGTAAATTTTTATAAAATTTGAAGTTGCCTCTTGCACTCACGCGGCAAAGGAAATATACTGTAGTACGATAAAGTAAACGGGACGCGTAGCTAAAGGCGGAAACTCATCATCACATTCTCTTAATTTAGAGAAGCGTAATAAAGAAACTAATTCTAATTAAACTTTTAGAATTTAATTGTATAATTCTTTTAAATAACATTAAAAAAATAATTGTTCGCAGCACTCTTATCCATGTTTCGGGTAAGCGTAGTGATTATATACTCTTTGATTCTGAGGAGTCCCTTCTATCACTATACTCTTTGGCGGGGTCTACAAATTATTCACTGGGGAGACCAATGTGGACCAGCAGAACTTGACAGATTAAGTGTCTCCTGGAAAGTTAACTCAAATGGAGTTAATTAATTTTCCAACAATAGTTACCATTTCTCTGATTATTTTAGAATATCCACTACCCCACACTTTTCCATGGGTGTCGTAAAAGGCAACGGGGGGAGGCTGGAACAGACCTCTGTTCTGTAAAAGTTTCAACATATATACGTCCCACTGCTAGGCACAGGCCTCCGCTCATTTCTGAGAGGGTTTTAGTTACTCAATGCGTGTTGACGAACTTCACATGTCTTCGAAAATTGTTTAGACTAATGGTGAGACATATCACAATCTCAATGTCGTATAAATAGTTACATTAAAAACTTCATCCCTTATTTTGACACTCTTAGTAATGGATTTTTTTACTCAAAATTTATATGGGAGCTCCCCTGAACTTGTGCACTATTAAATTAAAAAGAAATATCACAATTGACTCACAATTGACGACTATGTCGCACACATGTACAAACACATACAGTCGAATTGCAAACCTGCTTTATTTCAAGTCAGCTAAAAACTTACGGTTATTAATTGACCCTAATTTATACTTAATGCTTGACTTAATTCATAAATGTTACTAAAATTCTAACTCCGTAAGCGCTGAGTCGTTTACATAGGTGGTTGAAGAGCCTAACCGCAGAACTTTCCTCACCCGGCTATGTGTACTTTGTACTTAAGTAGGGCACACAAGGGCATTGTGGAACGGGCTTCTATTACGTAACTTTATAATACCAAGGTGAATAGCATCCTCAAATTTTCATTTTGGTTTTGTAAATATAACGGACCCATTTGTCAACCTGAAATATTTTTATGTTTAACAGTGGTAGAGCCACGCGGCAGCTTTTGCTGTCGCACGGATGGGCCGGCTCGAACCGGGGTGGTACCACGACCTCACAGAATACCAGCGTGAAGTAGAGGTTTACCTCTGCGTTTCGCTTGGTAAGTGCAGGTGGCCGGAGGCCCTTTTTACTGGAAATGAGGCATTCCATCTTAGTCCTCACGGGTGACAACGCATCTGCATTTTGATTCGCAAACGAGGATAGATGTAGATGTCTATGGGCCGCAGCAACCACTTACCATCAGGTGGACTGTGTGCTCGTTTGTCAACCTTATCCTATAAAAAAATATTTATATGTTGTATACCATGCTACAGTTATATTGTGGTTGTAGCATGAATACGTCGGCTCAATCAGGGAAGGACCACGTTTGCACATAAACCATTATAAATATATAGGTTTATAGTGAGTGTAGAGAACCGGAGACCCTATTTACTGGAAATGAGACATTCCATCTTAGTCCTCAGGGGTGACAACACATCTGCTTTTTGATTCTTAATCGAGGATAGATGTAGATATCTATCGGCCATACTATCAGGTGGACTATGTGCTCGTTTGTCATACTATAAATAAAAAAAAATAATTTCAGTAAAAAAGTAAAAATTATATTAGAAGATTCCGTAACACAAATAGATAGATAGATACACGCGAATATAATAAAAGCGTGTTAAAATGGATTAAGGACCACGCTCGTATAGAATACGAGCGTGAAATAGCATGTGACGGAAATCAGAGACTTTTTTTGCTTGTAATGATGTTGAGACATTCGATCTTGGTCTTCCAATTGACAAGTAAATAAAGATTGTTAGTGTTTTTTTTTTATTTATGAAAAACGAGTTCTTGTCTCAATACTATCTTGTGGTCAGTGTTGATGAAACCTTCGATGGTAAATCGCACTGTCTTAGCGTATCAAAACAATAGCCTATTCACTCTTGCCATGAATATGCCAAGATATGTTTTTTATAGGATAAGGGTGATAAACGAGCACACAATCCACCTGATGGTAAGTGGTTGCTGCATCCATTAGACACACCTATCCTCTATTACAAATCAAAATGCAGATGCGTTGTCACCCGTGAGGACTAAGATAGAATGCCTAATTTCCAGTAAAAAGGGTCTCCGGTACTCTACACTCACCATACGAAACACAGCAGCGTTAAGCTGCTATTTTATGAGGTATTCTGTGAGAGCGTGGTCCTTCCCCGGTCGAGCCGATCCATTCGTGCTACAACTATACTACTAATATAGCTACAGCATGGCCCTACCTAGAAAAATTGATTGTAGTCGGACGGAAAGGCAGACGCCGACAGATTATTCCACTCCCTCGCTTTTGCTGTACGATTATTAGACGACGAATACCGGTTGGTTCGAACGCAAAGAATATCGACAACAAACGGGTAAAGACCCGCCGACGGCCTGGTTGTCCAATGGCTAAAAGAAAGGGGAAGGAAGGGGCAAGTTATTCACAGTGTTCATTTACTTGTAATTAAAATAGATATTATAGAATATAATATCTTTACTGTATAACATTTAACTCTTCTATACGCGTGTTTATCACTGAACTCCTCCTAAACGGCTGGACCAATTTGATGAAATTGTTTGTGTGTGTTTGACTCCTTCTTTGTGGTATACCATGCTACAGTTATATTGTGGTTGTAGCATGAATATGTCGGTTCAATCGGGGAAAGACCACGCTTGCACAGAAAACCATTATATTTAGGTTTATAGTGAGTATAGAGAACCGGAGACCCTTTTTACTGGAATAGAATAGAATAGAATAGAATAGAATAGAATAGAATAGAATAGAATAGAATAGAATAGAATAGAATAGAATAGAATATTTTTTATTCAATATACATTACATGTGTAATTCTTATTGAAAGTCATTTTTTACTTTACCACTGGTTCGAAAAAAAACTCTCTGTCCTGGGAAGAAACAGCAAGAAACCCAGCAGGACTTTTTTTTAAAATAAAGAAAAGAAACCTGGAAAAGAGGTATTCCATCTTAGTCCTCACGGGTGACAACGCATCTGCATTTTGATTCTTTATTGAGGATAGATGTAGATGTCTAAGGGTCACAGCAACCACTTACCATCACGTGGGCTGTGTGCTCGTTTGTCACCCTATCCTTTAAAAAAAACATATTTGCCATAGATAGTTAACACTTAAGGCGTAAAATCTTTCATACATAAACAACTCCAGAGCGTGAAGAATATTGGGATGGATTATCTTAAAACATTTTCAACGGCTGGTTCGTCATACTATAGCATGGTGCTGTGACAGCTATTATAATTGAAAAAAAAAAATTAATTTCATGTAACAATTTGGAAGCCCCTAATGTTAGCCTTGAGGTTCATAAATCTATTATTAGCGACTAATGTTAGTTGTGGTTCATTGTCTCTACAATTATTTATATAATAAAAAACTAAAACGAAGACTCAACTTACACGAAACATGAGGAAGAAGTCAATATTGACTATAGTAACCCTTTCCCTTTTCGTAAATCATATATGAAAACCGATTGTTTAACTAGTGTCTGTTTCGTATAACAACTATTCAAATGTTTTGTAGTGTCACACAAGTATGGATCAACAAAAAAATAAACGAAAGATATAAGCAAACATTTTGATATTAATATTTTATTGAAGAAGTTCTCCGCCATCCTTCGGCCGTAAAATACATAAAATGAAGTGCACGGGTCGTTTGGTGTTATTTATATGTGATGTTTTTATTTTTCTCTTGAATTTATTTTTATACATTTTTTTTTAGAGCATTATTGAAATTAAATATTCCCTCAATGAGGCAATTTATGGAAGCCGTACGATTAGCGCGGGGGCGTTAGTTCAAAACTTTAATTAAAGTTAAAGTTACAGCCTACTACGCGCGTGTTGGTGGACTTCACATGTCTTCGAAATATTTTTTAACACTTATAGCACAGAGTATAGCACGTGGTAAACCAGCACTTACAATTGTTATAAACAATTTCATTGGTGCCAGTGGGTTTCGAACTCGGGTTGCTTGCGTACTTCAATCAAGTCATTACTTCAAGTTTAATACTTTGATCATTACAGATGATTATTATTTAAATCACTTTTTCAAGAATCAAATTCAAGAAAGGCATTCAAGAGTGTTAAATTTCACATTTACTTGTTCTTTCTTCTTTTTTAAGTCTTTTAGGCTTTTCACTGCTAGACGTGAGCCTCTCCCGTTATAAGAAATCTCTGCCACAAATGACACATTTGTCAGATGAATTAGAGATCATCATCATCATCATCAGCCTGCGGCAGTTGACTGCTGGACATAGGCCTCTCCCAAAGCGCGCCACATAGACTGATCTTCGGCTACACGCATCCAGTTTCTACCAGCCACCTTGCGCAAATCGTCGCTCCATCTGGTCAGGGTGCGTCCCATACTACGTTTGCCTAGACGCGGTCTCCAGTCCATAACACGTCTACTCCACAGGTTGTCATCTCTGCGACACAGGTGGCCAGTCCATTGTTACTTCAGTTTACAAACACGGAAGGCAATATAAGATTACTGACTCTGATTTCTTCATTTTGAATTTTATTTACCAGAGAAATTCCGAGTATAGCTCCTTCCATCGCTCGATGAGCGACTTTGAGCTTGTGGAGTAGCCGTATCGTCAGTGTCCACGTTTCGGCACCGAACGTGAGTACGGGCAGGATGCACTGGTTTAAGACTTTTGTCTTTAGACTTTGTGGTATGGGCGACGAGAAAACACGACGGAGCTTTCTAAATGCTGCCCAGCCTAACTGAATCCTCCGATCGGCTTCCTTCTTGAAGTTATTCTTACCTAGTTGCAATATTTGCCCAAGGTAGGTATATTCCTGGACAACTTCGAGAATTTCACCGTCAACAGTAATTGGAACTGGCATGAAGTGTAATTGATAGAATCAGGCGTTACTTTGCGGAAATCCATTATAATGGGATTGTTATAAACTAATTTGCTTAATTCCGCTACTTAGCGGCCAGCCTCCGCAGAGTCTACTTCACCTGAGGATGCCTCGTGCAGAGGCGAAACACGTGTCGTATTTTTAAGAGTGGTGTGTCGTGCCGTGTAGTGGCGGTCAAGAATACCACTACCCCATATCCTCCCGTGGGTGTCGTAAAAGGCGACAAATGGAAACCGGCAGGAGATGGGCAGCAGCATCTTCCTGATAATAGCCAAAATTACAATAAAAAAACTGCGGTTGCCAACCAACTCGCCAAGCGTGGCAACTATGGCAAATACCCCCCTATGAATGACAGTAACAAAGAAACGGCCCCCAGTCCCCGGCGGCCCCGCTATTCCTGGCTACGGTGGCAACCATGGTAACGGCGGGGCAGGGGGTGCTAAGAATCTCCGGTGGAGGTTCGGTTGCCACCTTAGACGACTCGACCTGGCAACGTACAACGCACGTACCCTGAGGACTAACGAGAAGATTGTGGAGCTGGAAGAAGAGATAGACAAGTTGCGCTGGCATATTACAGGATTATCCGAAGTCCGAAGAGAGACACGGTAATCCTCGAATCCGGCAACTTGCTCTATCACCGGGAGGGCGACCATCTGTCACAAGGAGTTGTCGGATTTATCGTCCACAAGTCTCTCGTTAACAACGTTGTAAACATCGGGAGTGTGTCGACGAGGGTTGCGTACCTTATACTCAGAATCACCAAACGGTATTCGCTGAAGGTCATACAGGTTTACGCACCAACCTCGGCACACCCCGATGAGGAGGTGGAGGAAATGTATGAGGATATCTCTAGAGCCATGCATTCCTCCAAAACCCAATATACGGTGTTAATGGGAGACTTCAACGCAAAACTAGGCACAAGAGAGAACGGTGAGCTGAAAGTAGGGAAATTTGGAATACGGCAACGGAACCCAAGGGGCCAGCAGCTGGCCGACTTCATGGAGAAAGAGGGACTCTTTATGATGAACTCTTTCTTCCAGAAGCGGCCCCACAGGAAGTGGACCTGGTCGAGCCCCGACGGTTCGACAAAAAATGAGATTGACTTCATTATGACGACCAGACGACAACTGTTCAGTGATGTCTCCGTGATCGCGAGGGTGAAAACTGGTAGCGATCATCGAATGGTTAGAGGCACACTGAACCTAAACGTTAAGTTGGAGAGGTCTCGTCTAATGAAGTCAACGCTCCGTCCCCCTCGTGCTCTAAATCCAAAGTCACGAAACCTTTCAGCTCGAGTTACAAAACCGTTTTCAGTGCCTAGAAGACTGCAATGAAGTGGACGATTTGAATGACAAGCTCGTGGAAACTGTCCATGCGGTCGGAGCTAAGTTCTGCAAGACCCGCCGCAGAAGAACACAAAAACTCTCCGATCACACTCTTAATCTCATGGCTGTTAGACGGGAGATGAAGCTACATTCGTCAACAGACTTGACAGCATACAGGCATCTGAACAGACAGATCTCCAAATGCATGCGGCGGGACTTACGCAACTTCAATACAGCTCGTATTGAAGAAGCGATCGAGCGGAACCAAGGCTCCAAAGTCTTTGCCAGAGATCTGTCTGCCAGAAAGAGCCACCTGTCAAAGCTAAAGACAGGATGTGGCAGCATCGTTTCCGGGACATCTGAGATTTTGAGTGAGATTGAGAGGTTCTATGGGCAGCTGTACACGTCATCGTTGGAGCCACACGCAAGTGTGAGTAACGATCCAAGAGCGAGTCTCATCCGACACTATTCTGAAGATATCCCGGACGTCAGTCTGAGCGAGATTAGAATGGCTCTCCAGCACCTTAAAAACGGTAAGGCCCCAGGCGAGGATGGAATTACAGCGGAGCTTCTGAAAGCGGGTGGAAGACCGCCGGTACTTGAAGTCCTTCAGAAGCTCTTTAATTCCGTCCTCCATGGTGGCATTACACCGGAGGCGTGGAGCAGAAGTGCGGTGGTCTTGTTCTTCAAGAAAGGTGACAACGCTCTCTTGAAGAACTACAGACCGATTTCCCTTCTGAGCCGCGTCTACGTGCTGTTTTCGAGAGCCATTACGAATCGTCTCGCGCGCAGACTTGACGACTTCCAGCCTCCCGAACAAGCCGGTTTCCGAAAGGGCTTTAGCACCATAGACCACATACATACCCTTCGGCAAATTGTACAGAAGTCCGAAGAGTACAATTTGCCACTATGTCTGGCGTATGTGGACTATGAGAAAGCCTTTGATTCCGTCGAAATTTGGGCGGTGCTGCAGTCCCTTCAGCGGTGCCAAGTTGACTGTCGGTATATCGAAGTGTTGAAGTGCTTGTACAGTAGGGCTACGATGGCTATCCGAGTACAGAACCAGAGTACGAAACCTATCCAATTGCAGAGAGGTGTAAGACAGGGTGACGTCATATCCCCGAAACTCTTCACCGCTGCATTGGACGACGTTTTCAAGCTTCTGGACTGGAAAGGATACGGTATCAACATCAATGGCGAGTACATCACTCACCTTCGATTTGCCGACGATATAGTCCTTATGGCAGAATCGCTGGAGGACCTAAGCACTATGCTCAATGACCTCGATAGTGTTTCCCAACGGATAGGTCTTAAGATGAACATAGACAAAACAAAGATCATGTTCAATCTCCATGTCACACCTATGCCGGTAGTTGTTGGGAGCACTAAGCTCGAAGTTGTTGACGAGTATGTTTACCTGGGACAAATAGTCCGACTAGGTAAGTCCAACTTCGACCGAGAGGTCAATCGACGGATTCAACTCGGCTGGGCAGCGTTCGGGAAGCTACGACACATCTTCTCGTCAGACATACCTCAAAACCTGAAAACGAAATTGTACAACCAGTGCGTGTTGCCAGTGATGACTTATGGAACTGAGACGTGGCCCTGCACTGCTGGCCGTATGAGGAAGCTCAAGGTCGCTCAGCGAGCTATGGAGAGGGCTATGCTCGGAGTTTCTCTGCGTGATAAACTTAGGAATGAGGATATCCGCTGAACCAGAGTAACCGACATAGCCCAACGGATTAGTAAGCTAAAGTGGCAGTGGGCCGGCCATATAGCTCGAAGAACCGACAACCGATGGGGAAGAAAGGTTCTCGAGTGGCAGCCTCGTACCGGTAGGCGAAGTGTAGGGCGTCCCCCCACGAGATGGAGTGACGACCTGGTAAGACATGCAGGAAGTCGATGGATGCAGGTGGCTCAGGACCGTGCTTTGTGGCATTCTTTGGGGGAGGCCTATGTTCAGCAGTGGACTTGTGAAGGGCTGTAATGATGATGATGATGTGTCGTGCCTAGTGTGGTGGTGCTGAGGGTGGTAGTGCTGAAAGTAACGGCGACGGGTATAGTGCGCGCGATTGAGGGAGGGTGGGAGGTCCCCTTAAAACTTGACAGGACACATCATTTTCTTTCTTTACGCGGAATTAAGCAAACTAGTTTATAACAATACCATGGCATGAAGTGATCGTTGAACATAACTTTTATCTTGTTCAGATTCATACACAGAGCAACACGTCGGGAGGATTCATTCAGTCTGTTCAGCATGTCCTGAAGTTCTTGCAGCGATTCTGCCATGACGACGATATCATCAGCAAAGCGCAAGTGTGAGATGTACTCACCGTTTACGTTAACGCCGCGTTCTTTCCAGTCTAGCATCTTTAAAACAGCCTCCAGTGTATTTGTAAACAGTTTAGGAGATATAACATCCCTCTGTCTCAATCTGCCATACTGTATTGGAGATCAGAGTGCTACAATTATCGCTCCTTTGACGCTGATTTACGTCCCTATTAGCGCCTGAATATCGAACTTGATTTGTTTTTGGATTTGAAGATTACGACAGAGATTTAAAAGGTTCCAAATGTACCGGTTATAGCAGGTATTTTGCGGTTCTGATAACATAATCAGAACTGAGGCTAGAACCATAAGTAGAACTGTTAGGCACCTTTATTTCGATATTTTTTAGAAAAAATTTCTAATATGTTTAATTTTTTGGAGTAATAACTTGTCCTATATTAAATTTAACCAAACCAGTACCTTTGACGGAACTAGAGTCGTAACCAGTTCGAAAAGTGGAAACTTTATTAGAAAGAAATTACAGAATCGTGACGGAATTTCAAACTGATTTTTATATATTATTTTATAAAATACCTGATTTACGGCCATCGCTTTTTCACTTGAGTTACTGCGACTTAAAGAAAATTTGACTCATCAATTTTTTTTATAGGATCAGGGTGACAAGCGGTTCAGGGTGAGAAAATCTACATCTATCTTCGATTACGAATCAAAATGCAGATGCCTTGTCACCCGTGAGGACTAAGATGGAATGCCTCGTTTCCAGTTAGAGGGTCTCCGGTTCTCTACACTCACTAAAGACAGCAGTGTTAAGTTGCTATTTTACGATGGTATTCTGTGAAAGCGTGGTCCTTCCCCGGTCGAACCGACCTATTCGTACTACAACAATAATATAGCTGCAGCATGGCTCTACCACGTTTAAATTCAAATTCAATAAACGTTTAAATTCAATTCAATTTCAATAACCAAAAACTAAATTTTATTTTACACATTAATTGGATATGACGTATTTGAATCGAAGATCCACCTTTAAGCATGCTTCGGCAACTGAGGCAAAGAAGTTAGAACGATGCAGAGAATTTGAAAGGTGAAAAAGTTGGACCAAAATTAGAAAAATTAATTAAAAAGTGGAAAAAGGACGACATCACAATATGCCTACAGCCACCAAAAAAAAACTTTAAATTTGGGACGAGAAAATGGGTCATGCTTTTTCACAATGTTGGGTTAAAAATGTCGGTTTTACTTCTTCAAACCAGTGAATTTTATCGTATTTATGAATGTAAATAAAATAATTAATAA